AATTTTCTGGAAAGATTCAGATTGACAGAATATGTGCACCATCCTAATTCTTATCCAAGAATTAATTTTAAAAAAAATGAGCTAGAAGAAGAATCTAACCAAAATGGAGAGGATCTCCAGCAAAAGAAAAACTAATCTTACCACCAAAAACAATGCTGTTTATACTGCAAATTTTCATTCAATTACAGAATTCACAAAAGGGTCCACCAAACAGTTGTTGGAAATAAAAAACACTAGGAAAATTCATAAGAAAAAATTGAGAGACAGAAAATAAGAAAGAAAAGAGGAGGGAAAGTTGATATAACCAATATTCAATAACCCAAATCAGGCAATGTTATTTCAGGAAATTCACAATCTAAAGACACCTGATGCCTGAATAGAGAATGAATAGGTTCTTAAATAATCAAAAAAAAAGTTAGCACTTCCTCTTTATCCCAAGGACTGGAAAACGTGCTTAAGAAATTTCAGATATTTGGCATAATGATGACGTATCTGTTTGTTGCTACTAAGGACTGCTCTACCCCCTTGATATTTCACTCAATAGCCATTTCTTAAAATTCAATCACTATTTTCCCTAGAACATCATTCACTAATTTTCTTCCAAAAGCAGTAATACAACACCTACTATTTTTAAATGCAGGCATTTTATTCTTCTAATTGTACTTTTCATTTGCCTTGACTTTCTCTCCCCTCCCCCAAACTCGTTTTACACATATACACAAGTCAATCTGATTATTTTGATTATTTCCCCCTCTACTCCACATTTTGTTTAAGTACTCAAGGGTCGCCATACTAAAAAAAAATATTATGCTTTTGAACAGATCCCTGACATATACAAATAGCACGGCTTATCCTAATAGCAATACATCATCTGCCCATCACCCAACGCAATTAAAGTTTAAAACAGGACAACTTCCTATATAAACAAGAGTTTAATAATAATGAAGCCGTCTCACAAATAATCTCCTTAGGAGGAAAATAAACTTATACTCGTACTATCTTTAAAGTTCAGTTTCCCTACAAGTAAAAGTAATAATCTTTTTAGCAGCATACAATTCTCCCTTCTGATATAAGAAAAACTTTACTATGGGAAAGCTAACCTAAGGGGCCAAAATAGTGTTGAAATTGTCTCTTCTATAAGAAAAGTTTCTGATTAAGTTGATATTTACAACAAAAAAACACTGTCATTAAGTCAATTCCAACTCATAGCGACCCTACAGAACAGAGTAGACCTGCCCCACAGAGTTTCCAAGGCTGTAAATCTTTACAGAAGCAGACCACCACATCTTTCTCCCACAGAGCAACTGGTGGGTTCAAAAGACCTTTTGGTTAGCAGTTGAGTGCTTTAACAACTGTGCCATCAGGGCATTACCACACAACCTTTTCTAATAAAGGACACATAATAATGTGATTTTAAAAATTCTGAAAAAAGTTCTTTTAGGAAACTGCTAAATAAGTGATTAAAACAATGCCATGCTCAAGTTCTTTCCTTTATAACAAGAAATAGAGTGAATTATGCTATTTTTATAATTTGTATCTCAATTTTTATCCTACAATCTTTAAAAGATCAGGAATATTGCCACATTTTATACAACAATGGGCATTTACAGATTTTCCCTAATATTTCTGAGGTAACATACAATTTATAATCTCAGAATGTGTTAACAAGTTTTACCTAATACATGTTATTCCAGTGGGATGAAAACCATTTACAAGTTCCATTTAGATTTAGAAATCCTTTGAGAAAAGTATGTACTACATTCTAGTTATACTGTTTCTAGAACAGCAAAAATCTCTATAACCTATTTCCCTACTCTTTTTCTTCAGAACCAGCTGAGCTGAATCTTGAAACTTCCTTCACAAAAAGTCAAGACAGATAGTACTGACAGAAAGCTGAAGGCATTTTCAGCAGATGCTGAAGTTTCCACAAATTAAAACTTCCTATCTCACTTGAATGGTCTATAAAAATGATAACACTGAGTTCAAATAGATTCAATCCAGTGTTATCTGCAGTCATATAAAAAATACATAAAAATGAAGAATGTAGCTTCATTTTAAAACCAGAGTAGGGAGGGGAGAGAAAGAAGACATCAAACATCAAACTGCCAAAACTGAGAAGATATTTTTTCATTTTCTTAAGATATATAAAATCATTTTTAAAACAAAACCTGCCTAACGGAAGTTCATCCTTAAGCAAGGCCCTCTTTCTTTCACAAAGTAATAAACACTGCTTGATATCGCCGATACTCCCATTTAGGATGAAGCTGAAGAGCATTACAAACAATTTTAGTTTCCCACATCTTGACATTTGATTATAACTGTCTCATGCTAATGAAACCAAAGATTTGTCTATGCAATTTTTTAGAAACAAATTTTACAATAAGCCAACTTTATTTTGGAAATCTCAGCTCCCTATTTCCTATCAAAATGTCAAAGAACTTGAGGTGCATTCTTTAGTCATACTAAAGACTGTAACAAAAATCCATTTGAACTGGAGAGGGCTTAAGCTAAGAATTTGATGGTTCCAAGCAAGAAGTAAGGGAGGAAGAAAATTACTCGAGGAAATTATTTAGTGAGGCAAAATAACCTTTACAAAAGAAAAGATGTATTAAAATAATTGACCCCTCTCTGCCAGACAAACAGTCCTCTCCTAGAACACACTGCTTACAATTTAGCCAAGTATGCCTGCCAAGAATTTCTGAACCTGTGTGCTAGGCTTGTTCAAAGTGGAAAGCTTCTCCACTAGAGTATTACAAAGAAAAATGAGGCATAGTTTTCACTTAGAGTTGAAGCTCAACTGTATTAAATATGCTCCTAGTGATAAACTATGTGTAAGTAATATTTTTAAAAACTTCAAGTTATAACTTAGGACAAGGTTTTCTGCACAAATTGTTTCCAATTCTTAGAAGAGAAGGGATTTATTACGCTTTCCCAAACTGGGGTTTAAGTGGCTGAAAGGGAAAAAAAAGTTTTATAAACAGCTTTTCTAACCTTAGTTTATATTTGGTAAAATAGACCATCTGTCACAATCAAGCAAATATAAATGCCAAGTGTAATATTCCTCAAGTTTAGGTAAAATTTGCAAAAGTCACAATAATCCAGTAATGTGCTAAAGTGACTAAGGCTAACTATATGTATTTGCTTTTATACTTAAGGTATTATT